ATCTAATCTATATGCACAAATATAATATTTAGAAGCATCCAATAGAAAATATTATTTTAAATGAGAGATTATGAGGGGTGTACTCATATGCTGATAGCATATGAGTACACCCCTCATAATCTCTCATTTAAAATAATATTTTCTATTGGATGCTTCTAAATATTATATTTGTGCATATACATTAGATTAGGAATTACTAAAGCCAAATACAGAGCTAATCTACCAAAATAATAAAGTAAATAATAAATAATAGAGTAGCCTAAATTTAAGTCAGGGAAAAATCAAGAGAAAAAAGAAAAATCTATCAAACTTTGTTGAAATAGTTTTTGAAACATTTAGCTTGAATCTAAATGTATAATCTATTTCTAAAGATGTTCAGTGACTAATATATTACTTAAATAAATATATCTGTTTAATAAATTAGTTTTTTTTCAAATACACCAAAAATACTGTATTTAATTTATATTCAATGGGTAATAGATAAAAAAAAACATACGTTTTTAAAATTGGGTGTACCCATTTACGCTAAGCACCACACACATGCACGCACACACGCACACGCACACACACACGCACACGCACACACACGCACACGCGCACACACACACACACACACACACACACACACACACACACACACACACGAAGTCAGAATTATTAGCCCCCCCCTTTGAATTTTGTTTTTAAATATTTCCCAATATTTTTTCTTCTGGAAAAACTCTTGTTTTATTTCAGCTAAATAAAAGCCATTATTAAACTTTTTAACACCATTTTAAGGTAAAAATTATTAGCCCCTTTAAGCTAATTCTTTTTTCCGATAGACTACAGAACAAACCATCGTTATACAGTAACTTGCTTAATAACCCTAACCTGCCTAGTTCACTTAATTCACCTAGTTAAGCTTTTAAATGTCTCTTTAAGCTGTATAGAAGTGTCTTGAAAAATATCTAGTAAAATGTTATGTACTGTCATCCTGGCAAAGATAAAATAAATCAGTTATTAAAATTATTATGTTTAGAAATGTGTTGGAAAAATCTTCTCTATGTTAAATAGAAATTGGGGAAACAAATAAACGGGGTTTGATAATTCAGGGGTGCTAATAATAATAACTTTCGATATATATATATATATATATATATATATATATATATATATATATATATATATAAATATATTTATTTATTTATTTATTATATAGTAATGTTAAGGATCTTTTTAAAAATAAATAAGTACACATTTGATGTCTGCAGCATAACACATGCATAAAAACAAAGAAAATGCACAAACTTCCATTCAAATCCCCAAAATAACTCCTCAGAAAGTGCCTGACTGCAGCAGAACTGCACCTCCACTCCATCTTGCTTTGCTGCACTCTCTTTCACTACTGAATAAAAACTCTTTGATGTTCTGCAAATTCCTACATTTCATTACAGCAGCCCTCCCTCCTTCAACCACGGCTCTTAAAAGAGTGTCTCTTCCTCTCCTCGACTGTCCTCGCTCATGCCACAGTTTTAGGAGACTCTGATGGAGTGCAACTCTCAGTGGGCTCTAATAATTCATTTGCCGTCTGCGTGTGATGTGATGCCGCTGTCGGATTCATCACCTGAATTTGACCTGATGGAAGTGTCCTCAATCAGGCCTCATCAATCTCTTCACACGGTTTTTCATTTCTGTGTCGCTCTCTTCAAATGCGCAAGACAATCAGCCATGCTTTTACAAGGTATGAAGGGCACATAAACAAACGACACATTCCTCAATACTTCAGTAATATTGTAGGCTAACATGTCTAATCTCATCACTGCGGCTTATGTAACGGAGACGTTCTTCGAAACCACTTCAGACCGTCTCTGCACTTAGACAGAAGAGGATCAGGAGAAGAGCACAAACAACAACTGCAAGCGGAAAAACCATCATGTCTAGGGGATGTTTTGGCTTTTAATCAATACATTTAAAGTTATTTCATGCAAACTGGAGGCATATGATCAGTCTAGTAAATGCTAGTGTACAGCATTTACACACCATACACAAGAATTAGACAAAATGTCAACAATTGTGTTACTGGTATTTACACAGCCAATGTCAGTTTTCAGATCACTCGGTTTAAGCTTCTCAATATAACATTCAAAAGTTTTTTTTTTATTCAGCAAGAATGTTTAACAACTGATCACAAGTAAAACAAAAAATTATGTTAATCCAACAAAAGATTTCTATTCTAACCAATGCTGCTTTATGATCTTTTTTTACATCAAGAAATTATGCAAAATTGTTTTTTAAAAATCCAATTATTAGAAATACTATGTGTGTGTGCAATTACACTGAACATTTTCACAGTATGTCTGATATTTTTTCTTCTAGAGAAAGTCTCATTTGTTTCATTTCAGCTAGAATAAAAGCAGTTTTTAATTTTGTAACAAACATTAAGGTCAAAATTATTAGCCCCTTTAAGCTTTATATTTTTTTAATTGTCTACAGAACAAAACATTGTTATACTATAACTTGCATATTTATTCTAACCTGGTACATACATAACTCTTACATACATACATACACACACACAGATATATACACACATACATACATAGATACATATACACACACACACACACACACACATACATACGCATGCACGCACACACACAATCATTTTTCTATGTATTATTCTATTAATTATCTTTCAGTGTAACAGATTTATGCAATTGTATAAAAATAACACTTTTAATCCAACTATACAAATTAGTTTTTGTAATTTGTCTTTAACAATAAGTACATTTATTACAAAATATGCAAAGCAGTTTGATGCCAAGTGGGTAAAACATTGAGGTTTTTAGTATAAGAACAAAATCAAGTTTTAAAATTGAAAGTTCATTAATATGTTGACGCTTTCATGTAACCCTTAAATAAAAACGTTTACATTTTTCCCCGCAAGTATTTGTTTTTTTTATTTGCCAGTTACCATCAGCATTTTTGATGCTTTTCACCCAAATTTCACAGCCTTCTGAGAATATTCTGCTATGAGCATTAATATATCAAAATAAACAACTGAGCCTCTGCTTTTAAACAAAAAAATATTTGTTCCATTTCACATGCTCATGTTTTATCAGCGCTTGAAAGCAGATGAAAGAGATACGGTAACAAATCACTTTTGATCCAAATATGCCTGACAAACATTACAATGAATTACATATTTGTTCCTCTTATCAGGCAAAAAATGTATGATATGTATGATTTTTTTTACAGATAAAAATATAATTAGCATACATTCTAATGAACAGACAAAATGGTTTAGTATTATTCTGATACTTAAAAAAGCCCATATTGACCCCCAGCTGACTGCAGTGTTTGGGGTTCACTCTCATCCATCAGTGATGTGTGTATTATTGGGGTCAGCGGGGCCGTCAACATCACGTCCGTTTCGCTCTTCTGATCTGATTGCATCCCTTTAACCACAGCTGCCCCCCACAAGCCTGACCTTTCACCCCTGACACGCACAAGGCCAAGGCCAAGAGGGGTCACCACCGCCTCCTTCCCCTCGCAACCAAACCGCATCTGAGCCCCGAAGCGAGAGCCATGACAAGAAGACCACAGTGACGGTTTACCCCAAACTCTTGCAGCTCCCAAAACAAAGAAGCCTCACGCTAGTTGGACAGAGCTAACAGTCCAGTCATCCAGATGAGCATCCACAACGCATCTCTCTGACAGGTGTGGGCGCTCGCCGTTTGACAGCGGACAGTTTGAGAGAGGCTGGAAACGTGACAAGAGCTTCTGGGGAGGTGATGGGGAGAAAACTACTGGATAAATATGCAGATTTTTTGCAAAGTAAATTTGGTTGTGCAGTCATGTAGTTAAACTGAGCCCAATTGTTACATGGTAGATGCATTTTTGAAATATGATTTAAAAAGAAGTCAATGTTGCTGTATTTCTTCGTAAAAAATGTATTTATTATTACAATTTTAAATAGCTATTTACTTTAATATATTGTAAAGTGCAATTCATTCCTGTGATTCAAATTTTCAGCATCATAATATCAACTGTCTCATGATCATTCAGAAATAATAGTAATATGCTAATCTGATGTGCTAAAATTTGTTTAACTACTACCATTGTTAATAGTTTGTGGACATTTCTTGGTTCCGGATATTTAGTAATTTTTTCCCCCCAAAAAAGGTTGCATAAAGGTTGCATTTAATTTTAGCATTTAACATTTAACAGTATGTGTGCTTGACATGTACTTGCCTAAGATTATCTTTGATTTTATAAGGTAACTATATGGGTTAATGATAGTTCTAAGAATGTGTTCTATAAGAAAGTCTTATTTGTTTTATTTCGGCTAGAATAAAAGCTGTTTTTAATTAAAAAAAAAAACATTTTAAAGTCAAAATTATTAGCCCCTTAAAGCTATATTTTTTTCAATAATCTACAGAACAAACCATCGTTATACAATAACTTGCCTAAATACCCTAACCTGCCTAGTTAGCCTAATTAACCTAGTTAAGCCTTTAAATGTCTCTTTAAGCTGTATAGAAGTGTCTTGAAAAGTATCTAGTAAAATATGTGCTGTCATCATGGCAAAGATAAAATAAATCAGTTATGAGAAATTATTTATCAAAATTATTATGCTTAGAAATGTGTTAAAAAAAATCTTCTCTTCATTAAACAGAAATTGGGGAAAAAATAAACAGGGGGCTAATAATTCAGAGAGGCTAATAATTCTGACTTCAACTGTATGTATGTCCATATGTTGGTAATATATGATCAATAAAGGCTATATAACAAGTGATGGTAAAGTTTGTGTGTGTGTGTGTGTGTGTGTGTGTGTGTGTGTGTGTGTTAGTGTGTGTGTGTTAGTGTGTGTGTGTTTGTGTGTGTGTGTGTTGAAATATCACCTCCTGGTACATATGTTTGCTCTTCATGGCCAGATCTTGCTGTTCTGGGCTGTAGGTGTAGATGGCAGAACGGTACTGTGTGCCATGGTCATTCCCCTGTGCCATTCCTAAAAACACACAATCATGCTTTAGAACACTTTAAACACTCACACCTTAAGAATCTGTCAAATTATGCCAGTCTTTCTAATTATTTTTTCTGCAATTAGGACGATGCAATCGATTCTGCTGCAATGTCACAAAACACAAAAGTGAAATAATTCAAAGTATAATTTAAAATAGCAGACTTTAAAACATTTTCCCATCTTAATATCTGAAAATATATCTGTTTTGCAGTATTTCCCAGTCATTTTTTCATTCCAATGAATTAGATTTTTTTTCTGCAGAACTGGATGTCGTCCATCTTGCCTTTAGCTCTGTGTGCTGTGCCTTCTGTAGCTCCTCTTTTCAAATGCCAAAACTCTGTGCTCTGATTGGCTGATCTTACAAAGTGGCAGAGCAACAGTCACTGACCTTCCCTGTGACCCTGAGGCCAGTGTGTCACCACAGTTGCCAAACACATCCTAACGCCAAATTACACTGGAGAACTGTTCCAGAATGAAGTATTTGGGTCCTTCATTACCTCTACAAATCACTGAATATACTACACAGTGAGAATATCAAACCAAAACTTCACCATCTACAAACCAACAACGCTGGACAATACTAGACTTTTAAAGTTCTTCACGAATTGAAGGGATCGTTCATCCAAAGCTGAAAATTCTGTCATGATTGACTAACCTTCCTATTGTTCCAAACCAGTTTGACTTGAACAGAAAGGATGATATTTTGATGAAAGCTGGAAAGCTGTAACCGATGACTTCTATTATTGCAGTGGTCCCAAATATTTTTATCACCACGGACAGGTCAATGCTTGACAATTTTACCTGAGACAATTTTCCCAAAGTCATTTTTTTTTTAATTAAATAATTTTTTTTTGGCAGGGGCGGGGGGATGTTTATCTTTAATGCATAGGACAGTAAAGAGCATTGACGGGAAAGCGTGGGGGGCATAGAGAGGGGATGGATCGACAGAGGACCTTGAGGTGGGAACCGAAGTCGAGTCGCAGTGAGCACTGCCGTGCATGTGTCGACGCTCTAATCACTACTTTACTGGCACAGACCCAAAGACATCAGTTTTTTATTCCATATTTTGCTTGCTTTTTGTTTCAATTTTGCAATCTAAGTGACTAAGATATAACCAAGACAATATGGTTATTTTTCAAAACAAAAGATTTTTTTCAAAACAAAAGATCATTTAGACTCAGATAATTAATTAAACCGAAATAAGAGTGACTTCTTGTGCGGCCTCATACCAATTTATCCACAGATCGGTACTGATCCGCAGCCCAGGGGTTGGAGACCACTGCATTATAGTATTTTTTTTTTCTTCTATGGAAGCCAAGGTTAAAGGTTTTCAGCTTTCTGCAAAATATCTTATTTTGTGTTTAACAAGAAAGAAACTGTTGTGGACATACTTAAAGATTAAAGAATAGGATCCACTAATACCCCACATACTTTTCTTCTGCATTTCAAGAGAATAAAACGTTTAAATCAGGAGGTCACCAATCTTAGTCAAGGAGGGCCAGAGTCCCTGCAGAATTTAGCTCCAACTTGCCTCAACACACCTGCCTGGATGTTTCAAGTATACCTAGTAAGACCTTGATTAGCTTGATCAGGTGTGTTTGATTAGGGTTGGAGCTGAAATCTGCAGGACACAGGCCCTCCAGGAACAAGTTTGGTGACCACTGGTTTAAATTAAGGTCAACCATACAATAATTTTTTATCTTACGCCAGACTTTATTTAATTGATCAAACATTACGTATAAATGGAAATATACGCTGAACTGTGCAGTATTAAGATTCCAAATAAACATTTAGCATTTTAAAATATTTAGAAATCAAACGTATTTATGGCAAACTTGATGATCCTTTAGATATTATTCCAATATTTTGATTTGATCCTTTAGAAATATTTTGTTTAAATAAAATAATTAACAAATAAAAATAATTAAATAATAAATTAAATTAATCAAATAACTTATAATAATACTGGTTTCCCAGGGATGGGTTGCGGCTGGAAACGCATTTGCTGCTTAAAAAAAACGTGCTGGATAAGTTAGCGGGTCATTCCTCTGTGGCAACCCCAGATTAATAAAGTGACTAAGCCAAAAAAGAAATGAAGGAATGAATGTTTAATACTGGGCAACATGGTGGCTCAGTGGTTAGCACTGTCGCCTCACAGCAAGAAGATCACTGGTTTAAGTCCCATTTAAGGCATTTCTGTGTGCAGTTTGCATGTTCTCCCCGTGTTCACGTGGGTTTCTTCCGGATGCTCCAGTTTCACCCACAGAGCAAAAACATGCTCTATAGGTGAATTGAATATACTAAATTGTTAGGTTGCAGCTGGTAGGGCATCCGCTGTGTAAAACATATGCTGGATAAGTTGGTTGTTCATTAGGCTGTGGCATCCCCAGATTAATAGAGGGACTAAGCCGAAAAAATGAATGAATGAATGAACTGTAGTGTATGTAAAATTACACTTTCTATTATATAGCAAAAGACTTTATTTTCATGTTAAGTGAGTTTAGTTAATTTGTTTAGAAATGCTGTTAAGCAATGCAATTCAGACATACTAAAGTGGTGTTGCTGTGTCCAAATATATCAAAACCTCTTACATCAAGGAGTTAAAAACAAAAAGGCAACCACGAGCACTCAGTGTACCCTAACAGAGACAGTGGAGGGCTTCTTTTTACAGCCTCCATCACAGCGCTTAGTTATTATTGATGATCCTCCCTGTTCGAGCTGAATAATACACAGAATCTCTCCTCTCTCACACACACAAGTGCACACACACACATGAACAGATGTGTCGTCAGCACACAAACGGGCAGAAGCTGACTCCATAAATGTCACACACAGTCACTCTCTACCGCAGGAAAACTATTTTTGTTAATGCAGAGGTCAAGAAGCGTCACCCTCTGCTTCAGAGCGAGGGAAGAAAGGGGAGATTTACTATGTGTACTTGTGAGGGAGTAAGCTAAACACTCATATGAAAGCACAGGCGCGCTCACACACTCAGCATCATGCTGATAGACACCAATCCTCTAAGACAGATCTGACCAATCCAGACTTTTAAGATGTCAGCACATTTTTTGGCGGATTTGTTGTTGAAAAGGAAAAGATAGAAAGCATATATTTATTAGTTTTCAGGTTTTGCAGGAAAGAGCAGATGGACTTAGTTCTGAAGTAACAAGATTTTTTTGCACTCAAAACCTGACAAACACAAGCTTAAATCAACGAGGTTACAAGTAGACATACAAAGCCAGTTCTAACGTTGACCAAAAAAAAAAACAAAAAAAAAAAAAAACTAATATTTACTGGTAATTACAGCATAAGAAGAGATTTATACATTTTATTTTTAAATAGTCTGATCATTTTTCACAGGGAACACCATACGTGGTTAACCAGATTTTTTTTAAAAATAGCAAAAAAAGTACCAAAATATCCCCAAAATTTGAGAAGTAGCTATAACCAGGGTTCGCAAATTCTGTAAAAACAAATCCCAGGGTAAATTTGAACTGAAAACAAAGACTAAATAATACTCAGACAATTCTTATAAGTGACTTATTAATTCATACTGTACACTAGAGGGCACCCTTGCTCAGAAAGTCCTTGAGAAAGACTCACAGTAGTTCAAAACACATTAGCTATGTTTCCATCCAAAAATGCAAATTAACTTCATGCGTAAAGCTAGAATATGCAAATAACGCAGCGTTTCTATCTAACGAGTCAAAGAGAGCAAAATAGTCACTTCCTGATGAACTGCCGCTCATCATCAACAGTAAAGACGAAATTTGCTGCGGTAGAAGAAGCTGCGTGAATCTTTTACTTTTAATAAATGACTTGTGCCACAGAAGACAATGCCGACAAGTAATGAACATATGGTGGCATTTGAAGGCGTCAGACGCAGAGCACAGATACTCTTGACTATTCTGGAGGTAATTAATAATATAACACTAATAATGAAATGGATAATGGTTTTAGAATGTCTATAGCAACATTTTAGATGTTATACAATGTGTTCACAGCCTGCTGATTATGCTATTCACACACATTTGTATCATCACATGATCTCCTATAACAAAATCAAATGACCTTTTTTAAAGCGCATGCTGGAATTTGTTCTGTAAAAGTGTTTCCATCATAGTTTATGTGCATTTTTTCTTATCGAATAAAAGGTATATCCTATTTAGTTATGTGCATATGCTTTTTTATTCAAGGTATACCGCAGTTTGGAAAAGTCTTTAGGTTTAAAAAGTTTTTAAAAGTCAAAATTTTCTGCAATACCGTTCCTAAAGTATGTGTACAACTGTTTATTGATGTTTTTTTGTTTTGTTTTTTAGGACAACAGAATCTCCAGCAGAAAATAAATCTAAAGATGCTATTTTAAATTGCAAAAGAAATCTGTTTTTTAAACGAACGAATACAGTAGAAGTCTGACATGTTTACTCATCCAAAATGTTCTAAATGTTTCTCAAAATAAAATATATAGTGTTCAAAATGGAAAAAAAAAGTTTTAATTTTTTACCCGGACATTTAATAAGAATATATTATAGAGCAGTAATCATAATACAGTGATACCGCAAAACCCTGATATTTTTATCCAATGTTATCATACCATCAGAATCTTATAATGGCCCATGCCTAGCTTCTATTAACCTCCAAAATGCGAATAAGAATACGAGAATAAAAACGGAGCTATTGACTTTGCAGGACACCGCCTCTTACTTAGCTAAAAATCAGCGGTTAAAGAGTTTTAACAGATGAATCAAGAAAATCAACAATTGCCAAGGTGTATCTGTTCTTTAAAGCATATGTCTATGCTAAATGATAATTGCCTCCATCACCTGAAAAAAAACAACAACTTCAACTGGATTTTGTGATAAGAAGCCACACCAGTTCACAGAAGTGAGTTACGTTTAATACCCAACTAATGTATGTATGGACAATATGTAGTACGTATGTATGGCTGTTGTTCTCATAAATGCTCATTTTTAATATTCTCTATT